AAGGCAGGTCGTCCTCTCAGGGGCCCCAAATAAACTGAGACCACAGCTTTTTGCTCTATTAAAGGCATGATGTCTAGCAAATCTGGGTCAATCCCTGTTGCTGCTTCAGACTGAATGGCCAACGCAATAGGGAGCTAAGTGTGGGGGGGGTGTCTACTAGTTCCAGGAAAGTGCTTTTTTAAAAAAAATGTTTTTATTGATTTCAGAGAGAGAGGGAGGGAGAGGGAGAGAAAGAGAAAAACACAGACATCAGTTGGCTCCTGCACGCACCCCAACTGGGGAACGAACCTGCAACCCAGGCATATGCAGGAATCAAATCAGCGACCCTTTGGTGAACAGGACAACACTCAACCAACTGAGCCACACTGGCCAGAGCCCAGGATGTTTTTACATCCTTCTTGACTCAACACTCATTGAATGTGGACTTCCCAGGACTAAACATCAATTTTTACCTGCTTGCTTCCTCTCCAGCACTGGAGAAAATGCATTCAGAAGGCCTTTCTCATTGGAAGTGGAGATGATTCCTGATTTGAGCTGAAATAATACTGAAATATTTCAGTATCACTAGGTGTTGGAGGAGAACAAATTGGCTCAGTAAAGATCAGAGTGATTCCCTGCTGTTCTTTGAAAATATATCTGGGTTGCCTATTGTAATATATGTCTTTTAAGAGCAGGTATGCTGTAAGCTAAGGCAGACAATTAAAGATAGTCTATTTTTGTCACCAAAAACACACTACAGCAGTGCGTGGGGGCTTAAAATAAACTGAGAAATGAATGACACTAGTTCAAAACAATTTCTCAAAGTTCCAGTTGCTATTTCAGTGTCTCCATGCCTTTCCTGTCCTCTACCCAACTACACTATGAAGCTAGAAACAAACAGCACCATGATGGTCTAAGAAACAAATGGCGCCATGATGTTCTTAGGAGGCACTGTAGGGAAATTGATTTTTTTCAGATAATTTGTCCAAAAGGAACAAATTGACCGGACTGATTGAGTGGTCCAAATGTGTGCCTGGCTACTGAATATTACTGTCTTTCTAGTAGACTGGATTCTAAAAATCCACCAGAAGTGGAAGTCAATGGACTGGGCTTCAACAATCTCAGCTCCTCCACTTAGTAACTACACTAACTTGGATAGGGTGCGCAGTCTCTCTGAGCCTGTTTTCTCATCTCTAAAACCCAAAATTTTAAAAATCACTGATAAGAGATATGAAAACTGATATGAAAATGCCTGGTGCCGTACCTGATACACAGTAGGTAGGTATTTAAGGTAGCAAATTACAAAACTCTTCACATGGTATGCACAGCCCTATTATTTGGCCTGGTTCTACCTCACTTTTTGCAGTAGCCACTCTAGGTTTCTTTCAACTCTTTGAACATGTCATGTTTTTGAAGCTCCAAGTTCCATACTATTTTCTTGAAAGCTCCCCCCATGAAACCTCTGCCTTCACTGACTTTGCCTGCCTTACCCTGTAAGTCTCAGCTTTCTGTATCATTTCTTTGGGGAGCTTTCCCAGATATTCTAGTTGAGGTTAAAACTCCTTGCTAAACAATTCCACAATACCTCCTCTCTGGTAACATTAAAAATGCACGTAAGTACATGTTTAACATCTATCACCCCTGTGACTTGAACTAGATGAACACAACGCCTATGCATTGAATTGTTTCCTTCCTAAGAGAATGAATAAGCATGAGCTTTGGAACAAAAGCATTGTTTGTAAAAAAATAAAATTCATTCAGGAATTAGGAAATCCAAGGTCAAGTCAGTGCCCCTACCCCATTTTTAGGACCAAGGTATTTATTTGGCCTCATAGTTCATTGAGTAGGACTAGCCTTTTGGAAGCACAAACTGAGTCTTTCCTGAGCAGGTCAAAGAGATCATATTTCATACCATTCAGCCTGTCTGTCAAATGCAACATCCCTCCCTGGGGAGGGAGCAGCCCAATTCCCCAGCTGGTTTTTATTCACACTAGAAACTTTAACTCCGTTCTAGGCCTCACAAAATGAGAGCTGTGTCCACACAAAGCTACAACAACCAGCCAATTCACTGAATCCAATGAAATAAGCCAATTCACTGGGGGGGGACACAAACTGTCAAACTGGCTACTTGGTGCCTTATAGCCCAAACAATGTGTGATTGAATTGGTTTGCTTTTCAATAGGTTGTCTTGTCATGTGGTAGGCTCCAGTGAGTGAAAGATTTTCTTTATCATTCTGTTGTCTTTTTTTTCTTTTAACACAAAAATAGGAGTATATAAGATAGAAGGGTAAATAACCAATAATGGCTTCTCTTTAATCCATGGTCAAACACTAAATTCAGCAATTCAACCTTGCCCAAAAGGCACATTTTGTGGAGCAAGGAACCCCAGTCTGGGTTTTGGCTTTAAAATAAGACCCTGCCAGTCCTGATCTCCTCTTTGGAAACACATGGCACTGGGAGACAGAGACCATGTGCAACAACAACTTTTTACAGACAAAGCATCTATTCATAGATCCCACTGAAGTGCAATCGTAGATTTTCAATTTCATTCAGCTGAATGCGGAAGGCTCCCACTATGAGGGTGGGTTGCTAAATGGTTCATCTGGGAAAAGGACCCAGAATGAGAGTCAGCTCTACAGTCCACACTTTCATTAGTAGAAATGAAAGCAAGTCCCTCACTCCAAGTCCAATTTTACAGTAAAGAGCTAATCTAGCAAATGAGCCAAGAGGCTGAGCAATTTCTCTTTCTCCACATCACTTCAGTACCCAGAGCATAGTTTTTTGTTGTTGGGGCTGTTGCTAGGGTAAGTGCTGAGAAAACAGCTAAGTAACACATAGGGTTAAAACTTATACAAAAGGGATAGACAATGTTGGCCCCCCAAGCCCACAGCTTGACCAGACCACTTTTCTTTCTTTGAATATAACAGGCATTTTTCCACCTTCCAGCCTTTTCATATCTCATTCTTCAAGGTCTAGTTAAATAATATCATAACTATTGCTTACCCATCATGCAGTATGCTCAGTGTTTTCTGTGCATAATCTCATTCCATTCCCCACAACCATATGGGGAACGTGCTACTACGTTCTCCACTTTTGCAGAAGGGATGTGGAGAGGTGAATTATGTACCCAAAGTCCCAGTTAGGAAGTGGAGGAGTTGGGATTTAGCCACCCCCCTCCCAGAGCCTGAGCTCCTAATCACACACTACACTACCTCAACCACCACCAACATGGGATTTCCCTTCTGCCCCAACACAGCAACCACCCCCCCACCTCCTGGGCAGACCACCTATTTTCACAATCTGCATAGGTCTTGCTGCCTCAACTGGGCACATAGGTCTAAATAAGAAGGATCTGTGCCATTTCCCCAGTGGTGTCTAGCACGCAGGAGGCACTAAGTGTGCTTTCCATTACCAATTGGCTCCCCTCTCACCTCAAATAAATACTTACTGCCTTGTCATGCCAATAAAAATCAAAGGCCAAATCCCTCACGTAGGGGCTGGCATGACATTCTCCGGCCCATGGTATCTTGCTTTTCCAGTAAAACAAGTGTCAGTCTGCATTAATGGCAGCAATTTTAATTGGGAGGTTTGCTCCAACCGGGAAGAGAATCAAGGCTTTGCTTATCTCTGCATTAAGATGACAACGCAGATACACTCATTTCAAAGCACCATTTTCCAAGGCAGGAAAAGACAATTTCACCTTTTACTCAATCTTTCCAAAGGATACTCCTAAACTGACTTCTGGCACGATACTGCTCTTGGGCCAGAGGTATCATTTTTATTTGACTTGAAGAGGTGTGGCCCCCATAACTAAGATAGATGGGAAGTCGATCACTTCTTGCATGCTGACCCAGCAACCCAGAGAAAGAAGTTCTTAGGTAAAAAGTGCTCATTACCAGCAGGGACGCAGCTATCTCAGGGGCTCACCCTATCCAGCTGTTTTCTGCTGAGCCTACACAGTGTGCTCTTTAAAGTTAAAAGCACGGCTTGTTTGAGAATGTGTTTTAAAAGCATTATGTTCAACAAGTATTAAAAATGTAGAAATCAGAAAAACAGTTATAATTCACAGCATGCTATTATGCCACCTTCCTAATTCCCAAGTGTGCAAACACATCCACAAATTAGAAGACTGTCAGCATTTAGATAAGCTGTTCTGGCAACACTGGGAGTAGAGGAGGAAGAGCAGACAAGATGTTCAAAACGTTTGGATCACAGTATCATTAAGCAAGAGAGCTTTAAGGAAACACTGGGAGGCAGGTCAACCTACTTTCTGGCTTCATGCTTTAAATCGGTCTGTCCACTACCAACCTCTGCAGAACCAAATACTAAAGGCAGATAAAGGAATCCGAGTGGGAAAACAAACAGGGAAATCGGACAGGAAAAGAATGCCTACGATATTTATTAACATTCAGCTCAGAGTGGAAAGGGACTAGCACACACAATGATATTGCCCTGCCCCTTTCTGACACTGCAAATGTGGGACAGGTTAAGAAGTCACAGTGGTAGGGTCCTTATTTTTCATTTATGTACTTGAATACCCTTTACTGATGTGGGTGTGCCAATAAAATAATCATCAATTTCTCCTAAGCTAAAATGCAGCAACTCTGGGGAAGAGGAGCGAGTAAGAGATATACAAGTGACCTGTTTGTTTAGCAGTGAGACTGACGCACATGATTTTGGATTCTGGTGTTTAAGTGAATGAAGAACAAGCATATTGTCACTAGCTTAGCAACTCGTCAGGACACTGACAAGTTCAACACTTTCTGCTCATTTTGGTAATTAATTATCATTTTGAACAAAAACAACTCGGCTGTCTATCCAAGGCTCTTACTATTGAGAGCGGCCAGCAGTAGCTATCAAAAACACTGCTTACTTTTTTATTCTAAGTCAAAGAGTAAACACACACACACACACAGCAGATTACAGAATAAGCTGTCCTTGAAAATCATCATTATCAATAAACTCTCACTGAGATACTGTGCAAGCTACTCTTACGATTCATTTCTAAACTGGCACCTTACCTTAGTGTTCCTTCTTAGACTGCGAAGAATATTTCTCCTCCTTGGGTCTTCATCTGTTTCATACGGAATGACAGCATTGTCCCCTTTATAACCTTGGGATGCCTGGTCCTCCTCTTTCTTCCGGATGGGCCCCAGCTCATCATCACTCCCTACGCTGAAGCTGGTTCGGTAACTAGCAAACCTCCCCAGCCGGCTGCATCTCGTCCTGTATAGCACTGGCTTGCTCACAATGGATACTTTGCGGCCTCGCTCTAGAGAGCTAGTGTCCATTTCACTGTCAGAACCATTCCCACTGCCATTAGATTGGGCCTTGTTGATATTCCGAATGGTGATGATCTTGCCTTGGGTGCTGTCATGGGGCACTGAGTATATGTTTTCTTCTTCATTCCTTGGCTTGACCACAGCATCCATGGGTTCGGCATAATCAGAAGGATCGAACCCATCTGGAGGTAGCCAGGTGCTAGAAGACACAGACTTCCTCTGTCCATCTCTATGGCCTTGCTCTAAGTAAGACAGATCCCCCTTTGTAATTTCAAAATGGACAGGAGGCTTTGGTTTGACTGGTGGAGGTACTTTGTTGTTCAGTTTACTCTCAAAGTTGCTCATGAATAAAGACAATCCATCATTTCCCTCCAGTTCCATAGAGAGCTTAGAATGGTCTTTGGACAGGGAGGGCAGTGATGTGTCTTCTCGGAACAGGCTGTACGAAGGGGGCTCAATATCCTCTTCTGAATCCTGCAGGTTTGAGTTGCAGAGCGGAGAGCCTGCCCGAGGAGAGTTAAACACCTCCTCTGTGGTGCTACAGGCCTCGGCAGCATTATCGTACATATGAGTAGCCTCAATTATGTTCTTTTTCTCCACCACATCTTTAAAAAATGGATGAAAGAGCTCAAGTTTATGCTGGGGTTGGCTACAGGGGATGCTTGTGAACCTGCCATCAATTTCTTGAGCAATCTCCTCCCCCTCAGTCAGCTGTTCCCGACTTAAGTCATTGTCCAAGACATCTATAGCGCCATCAGTGAGTGCGACCAGTTGAATGGGGATAATATCCTGCACTTCACAAAGAAAGGCACGTAACATAGCCAAGGAGGCCTTACGTTTGGCTGAATAAAAAACAATGTACCCATGGACTAACCGGCTTTTTCTGACGCTAAATGAGGAATGGTATGAAAGAATAGACAGTTCAATGCGCTTCTTGTGTAGTCCAATTGGTAGTTCAAGTAAAACAGAGTTGTTGCTCCCACAATGGGAAGATTTACAGGTTTGGGACTGAAGGACAGGAAAAAGTATGTCGTCTGCACTAAAAGGATCTCCACACATCAGACACATGACAATTCGCAGGTCAACATCAGCCAGATCTTTGATGCTAGCGGTAGAACTGACCAAGTTTAAGTTACGCTTAGAGTCCAAGAGTCCTTTCAAAACTTGGCTGATGTGCTTTTCGTTAATGTTGCGTCCATAACCGATGCCAGCAGAAGCAGGGTCCACAAAGACACACTGAAGTTTGCTAGCAATCTGCTGGCCTTGTTGTATTAAGCTATGCAGGGTCTCTCCACTGGTGTCTCCTCTCTTGTTAACCAAAATTAACGTCAGGGGGAGATGGACTAAATGATTATCGCGCCTACCAAGTGTAGACTCTCTACTCTTCTCTATACTCTCCACCACATAGGAAAGAGATTCCTTTGAATTGTAAAGGCAGAGACATCCATGGGGCTGAAATGTTGGCGTTTGGAAAGAGTTCACAGGAAGCCTGACATTCCCTTCTATTGGCCTCAGGGAAAGCTCATACATTTTACCATCTATCACATACTTGTCATCATTTGTACAAAGAGCTCGAATCTCATTGGCCAACTCTCGGGCAAGACCATCTTTACCCAAGATAACCAAGTTGATTCTATCAATGTTGGGGTCAGAAAGTGAATTTTTCTGATTCCGGTCAGATGGCCGGATAAATCGAGAACTAATCAAGTGCTCAATCTTAGCATCCACACAAGCCGGGCAGCTAGGGCATGTTTCCTTTGTTGGGTGGTACACAAAATGAATGTGCTTCAGGATAAGGGCATCACGCTCCGCTTGGAGCTTCTGTAATGCTTTAAACCGCTGTTCCTCCCCTAGAACATCCTGAATGACCCCCATCTTCTCCTTGCTGGGCTTTGCATCCAGTTCTAGCTCATAGAACAATTCTGAATATTCTACAAGAAGCTCCTGAAACTCCTCCTTTGCTCTGTCTATAATCTGCTTTTGGTGCTTGCCATAGATATCCATGTATACAGATTCTTCCAGCCACTGGTAGAAATCTTCATTCATGATGAAACTGCGGGCCTCTTCCCAAGGCTTTCCAGGAGTTATGAAAGGAGAAGTCTCCAGGTTTTCTTTAAACGCCCTTCTCATCTCAGCTCTTTTCCTCTCATTCCGTAGTTTCTCTAAGTGGGTCTCATACAGCTGCTCTGCAGGGACCGTATCCATTAAATCAAAGGGAATCCGCTCGTTCTCCATGTTGTCAATGTGGCTGGTGGCATCCCACGGGGTCTCCTCAAGCACAACAAACCACTTCAAGAATTCTGGCTTGGTCTCCAAGAGCTTTTTGGCTTTTATGCAGCTTAGGTGGTCTATTTCATCTAGATTGGGTATAAGAGCTTCAAAAGCTAATGGCAGGGCTGCCAGGTACAGCTTCCTTCTGCGCTCAATATGCTCGTGCTTGAGGCGGTGGATGTGCTGGAGAAACAGCTTCCTGGCTTTCTGAGTCCCTTCTAGGTAGACATAGTCCTGGTACTCAGGAGAGGCCTGCATCTTTCGGCTGACGCTAAGCCAATTCTCATTGTGGTTTTTCACAATGCGACTCACCAGCCACTCATATTTATCTTTTGCGGTAGCTATCTGCTGACTCTGCTGCTTGAGAGCTTCAAAGTAAGGAATGATTTTCGTTTTTCCCCGACTTTTGTCAATGAGTTGCACTAAGGTGCTAAAAGCCAAGTCCACATTTACGTTGGATCTTGCTGAGGTCTCCACAACCTGGAGGTTCTTTTTGCTTAAGGCAAAAGTATGTGCATCTCTAATGTACCGCTCAACGCCCTCGTCACACTTAGTCAGGACCACCACTATGGGTTTTTTTGTTTTTGCAAGCTGATTGTAGAGATTGGAGACAAACTTGAGCTGGTCATCAAAGTTCCTATTCATGCCCCTGCTAACATCGATACCAAGAAGAAAACCATCAATTAGCAGCTTTCCATCTGACATTTGTTTCTGCTCAAAGTCCTGCTCCAGCCCCAGCTGGTCAGTGCAAAAGTACATGAGTTTTTCAGCTGATGCGAGCTTGGTTGCAGCAGCTCTCTTGATATAGGGCTGTAGGGCCGTGCTTCGATGAGGTTGAAAAGTCTGATCATCAATGAATTCAGTCTGCTCCACGATGTGCATCTTACATTCCACGCAATCCTCCAGGGATCGGCTAACTTCTCCCCAGTAGAGAAAGTGGTCATTATTGACCACCCGCCCACCAAAGTCACTGGTGCTGAGGACAGAGGTATGGTCCAAGTGAAATTCATCAGCACTTGGGCGCACGAAGCGGTTGCACAGACAAGACTTCCCAATGCCACACTGGCCCTTCTCCTTTTCGGTCCCAGACAATCCCACCACACTGATGTTGTAGGTGGGAATGCGGACATCTTGCTTTCTTGCCATCATCATCGCCGACACATCCTGCCACAATCAGCCACTTCCGAGATCAGATTAGTGTTTTCCAGTGGACCCGATGGCTTCCCAACATTATCAGTGAGGGCTGGTTGCCCATGCAGCAGAAGTGTCAGGTCCCATAGTGTTTGTATACCAGTACGAGGTCAGTTTTTACCACTTCTCATTACCAAACAGCAGGCATTTCTTCCTAGATAGGAGAAAAAAAGAAAACCCATCAGCATCATCATTTTGGAACCCAATCACTGAACTATAGCAAAAATCGATATTCTTATTCAACAAATACAGTAAACAGTAAAAACGTGCCAGGCTTAATGCTGGGTGAAGATGTAAGAGTGAATGAGACTGATATCATTGTACCCTCAGAGAGGTATAATGTCATCTAACAGAGAAAGACACACAACAAGTAGTATGCTAAGTGCTAAAACAAGGGTTTGAGGGCTCCTTGGAAAAATGGCTGATTCCAGGGATAGGGCAGAATTAATACATGATGAGCCTGGAACATCTTGTTGTGCAAGAAAGGAAGTGCTCGAAAAAATGATAGGGCGCCACACAAGGATACAGGGGCCAGTCAAAGGGGATCCCACAGGTCAAATCTGGGACAATCTGAGCACAAAATAATTAAGTATAATAACAAATTATAACCCACTGCAAAAGATAGAAACTTTCAGGTTGTACTGCTGGATCAGAAAGGGATCATCACTTGATGCTATATCTAGGGGGGAGATTCTGATGAGGAGCAGGGTATTTGTACGGAATTGAGGGGTCCTCTGAAAGACTACTTATTAGTTGCAAATGGGGGAATAAAAACTCCCACTAATTATACAGTGGAGAAATTGGGCAACACTTTGGGTAATGAAAATTATCATCACCAAAGAGGGCTAGAAGAACATCATGGGCCTCAAATGTGATCTCCCAGGAGGATATATCACTATGCAGTACGATGGCCTAGAATCCATTACCTTATCCTAATCATAAGGAAACATCAAATACAAAATGAGCTAGATTCTGTTTAAAAAGGGGGAGAAGACATTCTATACTTTTCAAAAAATATCAATGTCATAACTGACAAAGAATGGTTATATAAACATTACAGATTAAGAGAGGCTAAAAGACTGTAACTAAATGCGATTACCTGACCCTAGACTAAATTGTGCAGCAGAGAGGGGAAAGGGGGTGCTCTACAGGACATTAGATCAACTAACAACACTGGACTATAGTGGAATATTAAATAAAGAAGTTTATAAACGTAAATTTATGAAGTTGATAACTTGTGTGAGAGAATAGCCCCACTCCTAGGAAATACACTCTGAAGTATTTTGGAGGAAAAGGTCATAATGCACGTGATTGGTCCAGAAAAAAACCTAGGTGTACATAGAGAGTAAGAATGCAAATGAAAAGGTAAAATATTAACAATAGGTGACTTTGGCTAAGTATATAGAATATTTCTTCGTGGTATTTTAATTTTTGTAACTTTCTACAAGTCTGTGGTTATTTCCAAATAAAAAGCTTTTTTTAAAAAAAATAATAATAATTTCGAGCGGAAGGGAAAGGAAGAGAGAAGCATCAATGATGCGAGACGACCATCGATCAGCTACCTCCTACATGCTCCCTACTAGGGGATCAAGCCTGCAACCTGGGCATGTGCCCTGACTGGGAATCGAACCATGACCTACTGGTTCATAGGTGGACACCCAACCACTGAGCAACATCAGCCGGGCCCAAATAAAAATCTTTTTAAAGGGTGTAAATATGGGGTGGTTTCCCTGACAAAAACATAAGCTCTGTGAGGAAAAGGCCCACCCGTCTTGTTGATTTCTGTGTCCTCAGCCTATGATACAGTGCTTGACACAAATATTTACTGAAAAAGTGAATAAATGAATGAATATTAGAGCATATTAAAGAGTCCCCAAACCCAGCCTTTTAGATTTAGGAAAACCTTTCTGAAGGAAGTTCCATCTCAGGTTAGACCTTAAGTACAGGGAATGAAAAATGCAAAGACTCCTCTCTCCCCAGAAAAAAATCATGGCCCATGGGGGAGCCAGCTGAACAAAGTGAGTGTGGGGAAGAAATGGGTGAAATGCACTAGCTAGTCAACAGGGCCATATTAAGCCACTTTCAAAGAGTTTGGAGTTCTTCCAGAAGGATATAAAACCACAGACTGTGGCTGAAAAGTGGTACCTTACAGGACCTAAAGTTTGAACAGATGAAGTAATGCAATGTTGTGATGTCTTATAAATTCTTCAGCAACCTTCAGTCCACTCAAGCCAAAGTCTCAGTCATCTGAAGGAAGCTAAAGAAAAGCAAGCAACATTCTGGACTCAAAAATGTAGCAACTGACATTTTAAACCTAAAATGCTAACTGACTTTAAAAAGCTACAAAACCAAAAAAGAAGAAAAAAAGAAAAAAGAAAAAGTTGGCATGGGAGTGGTTAATTTTTGGACACCTGGTAACTTTCCACTTGTTAGAAACCTAATAGGTTTCCTGGTGTAAGTGCGCTCTTCTTACATGTCTGTCTTTGATGTCTGGATAATGCAGTTTTACTAGTTCCTCAATTGGACTGAATTACACAGTAAACAAAGACGGCTATAAATCCAAAAACGTCTCAAACACTTGGTTTAAAGGAAATAACCTTAAGTGCTTGGTCACAAACACATTCAACTTTTCTAAGAGGTGGGTAAAAAAATTAGCTGAGTCACTAAATTTAATGATCTGAAGGCCACAAAGAAAGAGAAAGTATGAGACAAGTCATGTCCAAGACTTCCCAATGTCTCTAATTTAAATCTGATGAGAACCGGTGTTCTTAGTGGGCAACTAAGCTTCTCAAACAGCAAAACCTGAATATCCATTCTAATAATCAGCCAATACTAATCCTTTTAAAACCAAAGAGTTATAGGGGGGGCATTATTCTTTAAGACAGTAACTCTATCTTTGAGCTTCACAGAACTACTTGTATTAGAAAAATAAAAACAAAGAACTTAACATTTAGTTTTACGCCATAAGTCAACTACTTCAGAAAGGAAAATAATTCAGAAGTACTTTCAATTCTTTGTGACAAATATATGTCATGAAAACATAATGCAAACATCTGAGAGTTTTAGAACCTGTCACCAGACTCTGGAGTTGGTTATTTGATGTTTAACCAAGACACCAACTCCCCAAAGGGTAGCTCAACTGGAAGGGGGGGGTGTTTTCTTTTTTAACACCTCTACAAAACACCCAAGGCAAGAAGTGGTAACATTCCCAAGATAATACACATTTCACAGGACACAGAAATGCCTGTGGATCCAGCATTACTATGGCTGCTAAAGTGCATACTGTCAACAAGTCTATCAGTGTGTTTCACCTTTCTACCTTGCAACCTCATGCCCCCACCACCCACCCCAAGAGGAAATGTTTTTGGGCTCTGTGATCTGGAATGCTCTGTGATACACACACAGGTCCACCACCATTATCCACAACCAAAACTACCATCTCTACCTACGAGAATGGTGAACAAATTCTAAAATGCATTTATTTTCAAACAACTATATACAAAACACCACCAAACTAATAATACTATAATATTATGTAATAATTATATTATATATGAGTAACAAGTACTTATAAATGAAATATAAACATTATAAATAAAACATAAGTATTATAATTACATAATAAGGAAATAATTTCATAGGGAGCTGCTAGCAAGGGAAGAAAATACTTGTCACAGTAATTTTTCTTAATGCCAGAAGAGAAAAGGAATAAGCTATGCACTGTAACAGAAAACAGAGCTCTCTAAACCTCCTTAATACTTCACACTTCTCAACACCTTAAATTTCCGAATGTGTTTTCAAAGCTATGAATTACCATCAGCAGCTGGTTAAAAACGTTTGCAGTTAAGTGGATACATGGTAAGATTCAGAGCCACAGGAGAGAGCAAGAACAAAAGAAAGGGCTCTAACTAGGAAAGTTTCCCTGTCCGAGAGACTCCTAAAGGAGAATTTTCTAGAGGGATTTACTTGCCAAATGAGCCGGAAGGATAGAATATAAGAGCTCGAGGGAGAGGAGAATACTAGTCTGTGGTCTACTGAACCGCTGAATTTAAACAAAATATTCTCTGGAGTCCCAATGTTTCCATTTTCATATCAATAAACATTAAAGTAAATTTTCTTAAGTTTTTTGTTTTTCCTTTAAAAATGTTAGACACATTAGAGAAGAAAAGTTGGAAGTAGAGTCCAAGGTCCTTATTCACCCAATTCACTCATCTGTGAAATTCAGATAAATTTATAAAACCCTTTACGTTAGTGATGTGCACATATAATGTCAGGGTATTTAGCTGTAAATATAAATTATCTTTATGAACCTGACTGATACAGTCTTCATTTCCTGTGTGACTTCTGTCCGAATGTGGAGCAATACCCTTATTCTGCTCATCTCTTCACAGGAAGTGTCTTATGAAGAGACATCAAACTCATAAGCATGCATAGTTTCTACTACTGAACAGGAGAGAACTGATGGCCCAGTTACAGGCAGCTAAATTCTCTCCTTCCTTCATGATATTTCAGAGGAGTTATACATTTTTATATTACTCTAATTTTTAGAACTGAGAAACTGAGCTGTCCATCAACCAAATCAAATACAGACTGATAGAGTTAAGATGATGTGTTAAAACAATGAATGGGCCACTATCCTTGCTGATGAGAATCTTATAATGTGCTTGAGATGCAATACTTTTACTTAAAAAATAACTGAACCACAAGAACCACAAGACCATAAATGGCATGGACCATTTCCTGGGGTCCAGAAAAAGGAAGAAATTTAGCTCTGGGGTGGTTGGGGAAGGTGTCAGAACTGAAGTAAAATTTGAATTGGTACATAAAAGACTGGCAGAGCTTGGAGAGATGGCCCAAGCCTAAAAACGTGCAAGGGCATGAATAACGATGACCAAAACGGAAAAGCACCAGACACGTCTTAGGACGGACAGACCGCGGCAGAGCTTTCGTGATGGGAGGCGGAAGACGAGGAGGGCAGCCAGGACTCAGGCTATGAACAGACTGTACTTCTACCTGTCAGAATCTAGTACGAAAATAATATCTTATCCCACCAATGTTATTTACTGTGGTAACACTGCTACCTCGACTCAACCCTTCACCCAACAAATCAACAAAGTCTAAGAAGTGGATCATCTTACACAAAAGAAAGCTCCG